TTTTTCTAAAATAGCTGCAAACTATCAACTGCTCTACAGCTGCAAAAATGTAAACTTTTAGGTTATATTTTTTCAATTTCGAGTATCTTATACAAAGAATTGGATTCTAATTTAAAAATGAAAGTTTCAGCTCTCTCTATTTTAGCTTTCCAATCCTTCAAGAATCAACTTAATCCAAATTTTGTAGCTCAAGTTATGACATTTTTTTCAAAACAGCTGCAAGCTGTCAACTGCCCTTCAGCTGCAAAAATGTAAAATTTTGCTGTAAAATTTTGGGTTATGTTTCTTCAATTTCCAGTATCTTATGCAAAGAATTGGATTATTATTTAAACATAAAAGTTTCAGCTCTCTCTCTTAACTTTTCAATGCCTCAAGAGTCAGCTCAATCCGAATTTTGTAGCTCAAGTTATGATATTTTTTCCGAAACAGCTGCAAGCTGTCAACTGCTCTACAATTGCAAAAATGTAAAATTTTGCTGTAACATTTTGGTGGTTATGTTTCTTCAATTTCGAGTGCCATATGTGAAAAATTGGATTATGATTTAAACATAAAAGTTGCAGCTCTCTCTCTTAACTTTCCAATGCCTCAAGAATCAACTCAATCTGAATTTTGTAGCTGAAGTTATGACATTTTTTCCAAAGCAGCTGCAAGCTGTCAACTGCTCTACAGCTGCAAAAATGTAAAATTTTGCTGTAAAATTTTTGGTTATATTTTTTCAATTTCGAGTACTTTCTGGGAAGGATTGGATTATGATCCAAACATGAAAGTTGTATCTCTCTCTCTTAACTTTCTAATACCTCAAGAATCAACCCAATCCGAATTTTGTATCTCAAGTTATGACATTTTTTTCTAAAACAACTGCAAGCTGTCAGTTGCTCTACAGCTATAAAAATGTAAAATTTTGCTGTAAAATTTTAGGTTATATTTTTTCAATTTCGAGTACTTTCTGAGAAGAATTGGATGATGATCTAAACATAAAATTTGTATCTCTCTCTCTTAGCTTTCCAATGCCTCAAGAATCAACTCAATCCGAATTTTATAGCTTAAGTTATGACATTTTTGCAAAACAGCTACAAGCTGTCAGCTTTTTTATAGCTGCAAAAATGTAAAATTTTGCTGTAAAATTTTAAGTTATATTTTTTCAATTTTGAGTGCTTTCTGTGAAGAATTGGATTAAGATCTAAACATGAAAGTTGCATCTCTCTCTCTCTTAACTTTCCAATGCGTTAAAAATCAACTCAATCCGAATTTTGTAACTTAAGTTATGACATTTTTTCCAAAACAGCTATAAACTGTCAACTGCTCTACAATTAAAAAAATGTAAAATTTTGCTGTAAAATTTTGGGTGATGTTTTTTCAATTTTGAGTGCCTTCTGAGAAGAATTAAATTATGATCTAAATATGAAAGTTGCAGCTCTCTCTCTTAACTTTCTAATGCCTCAAGAATCAACTCAATTTGAATTTTGTAGCTCAAGTTATAACATTTTTTTTCAAAATAGCTGCAAGCTGTTAACTTCTCTACAGTTGCAAAAATATAAAATTTTGGGTTATATTTCTTTAATTTTGAGTGCCTTTTAGGAAGAATTAGATTATAATTTAAACATAAAAGTTGCAGCTCTCTTTCTTAGCTTTTCAATGCCTCAAGAATCAGCTCATTCTGAATTTTGTAGTTCAAGTTCTGACATTTTTTTCAAAATTGCAGCAACTTATCAACTACTGCTATTGCTTTTAGCAATACCAGTTTCGGTAAAAAGTTCATATCTTCAACTAAAAAACTCGAATTTTGGTAATTCAAAATTCTTTGGAAAGTTAAAAGAAGGAACTACAACTTTCATGTTTTGATTTTTTTCTAATGATGCCTATAACACACCCAAAATTAAAGAAATACAAGCTGGTATCTATAGGCGCAGTAACATATTTTTGTAGTAATCTGTTCTGTTACAATCACACATCTGTTTTGTGACAGTTAGGTATCTGTTATTTTACAATCATTGATCTATTATGCCCAGAAACACTTGAAATTGAAGGGCATTTTGGGTATACAAATTACCTTAATTAGGTAATTTTTTAAGATATGGACCTTTTTGAAATTATTTTTACTTTTAACTTTTTTAGTAAATATTTTTGTTTAAATTTCCTTTTTAGTAATTATCCCAAAAATAAAAACACTGTCCATATCTAACTTTCTTTCGAAAATAGATTTCAAAAAATTTTAAATATCATGTGCATAATTCCTATTATTCTGTGTTTTCAGCATTTTTATGTAGACTTTTCTTCACCATTTATCTGTATGTTTGTACTTATTCTTTTAACAAATACAACATGTTTTATATGCATTCAACTTTTAAACTATATTTTCAAACCAGATCCAAAAATCGCAAATAAAAACATGCATGAAAATACCCATGTTTTATGTTTTATAAACTTAACTAAAAACAAACCCCAACCGGGGAGTTCTAAAGCAGCTAGTGCTGCAAACTACAGATTCGTGGGCATCATCTAGTTTTTAACGCTATTTGGTTGGTAAGCATCATTTTCTTTCAAGATAACTGTTTATCTATATCTTCAGCTTTGAAGCATGGGTATATTAAATTGTTGATTTATGAATGTTACAACCCATAAAGTACATGGCACTTTGTTCAGATAACGATTCTGCTCTATTGTGTCTTCGCATCATCCTCAAACAGGATCCTGTGGGACCATGAAATCCAGGCCTGTCTTGGACTAGATACTAAATTTTCCATCTCGTTGATCATTGGTCTTTGGTTTAGCAACAACTTACTTTACCCAATCCTTGGTTGCCACCTACTAAGAAGCTGGTTTATTTAATCCTAATTTCTGATGCTGTGAAAAACTCTTTTTGTGGAGCCCTAAGTTAGTGGAATCTATTTGGGCATCCTTTTCTTGCGTGTAGTACATTTCTTCTTGTATCATAAATCACTAAATTGGATATATGGAATATGATACCTTTTAAATTTAAAACCCCCACTATTAATGCCTTTCAAAGTGATCAGAAGCTTCGATTTTTGTCGCATATAACTCGAGCTCTGAAAGTGACATGTATATTTCCGTCACATAGGAAATTGGGGTTTCTTAGGAATAATGTTCCCTTGTGATTTTATATAGAAATGCCAAAAGCTGCCCACTTCCATGAAAGATCAGACTTTGGAAGAGATATCAACGCTGCAAGGAGAAGTATTTCATTCATATCGTATAGCTATGCAAGATACAAACCAAGAACTGCAAATTAATAATGGAGTACAAGCAAGGAGTTTATCCTTGGTAGCCTGGTGGAGAAGACTTAGTGGATGTAAATCAAAGGGGTAACTCATGAGGATTAAAAATGATGCGTGGATGCCTTCACGCTCTGTAAGTTACAGAATGATGTCTCCAACTATGTAAATGACTGAAAAATGACAAAGACCAATGTGTCCAAAGCATGGCAAGTGAACAAATACGTCGCTGATATGCTTTCTCATTTGATTTTTCTTTCAAGAAAGCAATGGGAATTGTAATTGTGTGAAAACTAATTCGCACCAATTTTTGCTGATTTATAGGCAGACCAAGACCTTAGCTATGGGCATTAGTGGATGTTAAAGTAAGCGAAGAAAAAATGAGCAGCTGCTTTTGATGGATGTGTGAGGTGGAGCCACTAATGCAGGTACAAAATGCCTGTACCAACCTTTGGCTTCCACAAACTACAGAAGCCCTTGCACTTATACTGCCAAAAAGATAATCATCCACTAAGATCTTTCTTTTCATCTTTTTCCTGTTACTTTTTTATTCTAACGTGATTCGTTTTTCTTCTTTTTGCTTGAGAACTAGAATTTCAGCTGCAAGCAAAACTTTAAAAGTGCATAGAGGAAAAGTAGTGAATTAAAAAAGATTGCTTTACATATTAACTTCATGCATCATTTAGTTGCTCATGAATCTGAAGCATATATGGTAATCCAAAAGTCTAATATTACGCTTTTCAATGAGAAAGAGCTAGTGCATTGAGCTACAAATTAGATGTGAAGACCCATATCAACCTAATTTTGCATTCATGTTGTGTTCCTACTGAACCAGAATAAAAACAATATCATGATCCAACTATCCTTGGATCTCGTAATGGTGGCAGCCTTGTGCACTAGGTTACTCTTTCCTCATCTTCTTTTTTTTCTTGTCTTTCAATTTCAACTTCTGCGATCACCTTGTGTTTATTTTCATTGAAGAAAGCATGCCCAATCACTTTAGGAATCAAAATCTTGAGAAAAAGATATGATTCTTATTTTACGGCTCATTATCAGTTCTGTTTGGAATACCAATTCTGAATTAATAATTCTATCCTCAAGGTCCACTTGCACCAAAAGCAAATTGGCACAACTTCGTATCTATCCGTACATGGCATAGCTCCATGATCTCTTTGAGGATGCTAGTTCTTGATCTGTAACTTAAGACTCTCTCCATAAGTAATGAATATTCTTTATTGATGATCCTCAAATTTAAACCATAGGGCTATTGGAAAAGCTCTATGTCCACACTTGATGACCTAGAAGATTTCGATAAGCAGGAAGCTCATATCAAATTCTATTATCTGAGAAAATTAGAAGTCTCCGCCTGGTCCAGGATAATTTGGAAACTTTGCTCTGTTTCCCTGCCATACAGTGTCATTATTTTAAACTCTTATTTTATCATAGGCATTTGGGAAAGGGGTGGCAGGTTTGTTTGAGACATAAAATAATAATTCCTCAAATCCCCACTTCTAAAAGCTACAAGTGTGCTTCTAGTATTGGGAAGTGGCACTAGCATCATATAAATATATTCTTGAAAATCTCTCTCTCCCTCCCACCCTCTCTTCCTCTCTCTCTCTCTCCCCTACTTGCAAATATTTAGTTACAATCTCACGTAACTAGGGTGAAAAAAATAGAAAGAAAGTATTTGAGACCCTTCGTTAAGCTCCAAATTCTTCATAGACACCTGTCATACTGATGGCATCAATACTGACAAGGGTCATCAAAATGTCTGATTTTGTAAATTCTTGGGGAAGGAACCATTCTCCTCGCGGCAGAAGAACTTTCCACAGAGATGTTGAACAAGAAGAATTCCAGTATGCAAGCAGCCATTGTCTCTCATCTTACTACAGTGTGTTTGTAGTTCGCCTTGCCATCATGGTATGCAAAGTTCTATATATGGTCTTAATTAATGTGAATTATCCCAAGTACTGATAAGAATGAATCAACTAGTAGAATAATGGTATGGTGGTTCAAATAAAGCTGATCAAGGAAATATTGATATGAAACTTCACATGCTAGTGAGGTTCAAAACAAATGAGCTAGCTAAGGAGGACTTCAGAAACACCAATTCTTATTTGACTTTAAGACACTTGGTGCTCAGAGCAAAAGGGCAATTTATAACTGGTTTTACGTTGTTACAAATTTAGTTATGCATATAAATGAAGCATTATTTAGGTTAATTTTATGGTGTTTTATATGGTCTTTGTGCAGGTGATGCTGGCAATTTTGATTGGAATGCTAACCTTGTTGACGATACATTTTACGAGGGCATACACAACAAAATCACTGGAAAATTTAGCATATGTCCTTCGTTATGAACTTCTACAGCGTCCCATATTACGAATGTGGAACCTCTTGAATTCCACTGTTGAAATAACAACAACACAAGTTAAATTGTCAGAGTATGTGATCAAACGGTACAGCAAAGCAGTTAATCAAGCCCAACAAGTGGAGGTTTTCTATTAATCCATTCTTGTTGTCCTTGAAACTCTAGATCAGCTATATTTTTCTATTTTCATTTTATTTACTTATTCTAGGACTATTTTTCAAACTTCATCTTTCTTTAACTTTTGGCAGCTATATGAAGTAATGAAGGATGTAACCTGGGCACTTTTTGCAAGCCGTACAGCTCTTAACGCCATAACCATAAATTACAGAAATGGTTTTGTCCAGGCTTTCCACAGAGATCACAGGAATAACAATACATTCTACATATACTCTGACCTTCTGAACTATTCAATCAACAGTTATCATGACATCAACACAGTTTCATCTCATCAAGGGTGGAGTGATCAAGCCGTACACAGTAACATTTCGGCTGTTTGGTACAAAGAGCCACTTGATCCTATCACTGGTCAAAAGATCGGGAAACCAACACCTATCCGTCCAGATGATCTAATCAACGTTCCAGGCCTTTCAGAGGTTAGAGATGGTGTAGCTTCTTGGAATGTAGCGGTGAGCAAATATACAGATTCACCACTTCTCTCAGCAGCATTGCCAGTTTGGGATGCTTACAATGAAAATATTGTGGCTGTTGTGGGAGTTAAAACTGCACTTTATAGTGTTGGTCGTCTGATGAAAGAGCTTGTTGAATTCCATAGTGGACATATTTATTTGACCTCTCAAGAAGGGTGGCTGCTTGCCACTTCCTCTAATACTCCACTTTTGATGAATTCAACAACTGGGCCAAAGCTTATGATGGCTATTGATTCTGAGGACCGTGTAATACGATTGGGAGCTGAATGGCTAAAAAGAACCTATGAAGATAAGTTTCCTCCAAGTCATGAGGTCCATGTAGAGAATGTCAGGCTTGGACATCAGCTATATTATATTGATTCATTTTCCCTTGACTTGAAGAGGCTTCCAATGGTAAAATATTTGAGTTTTAAGTAATTTATCTCATATTAAAGGGCTGTATGTTTTTGTTTTCAAAACCTTTCGTTTTTTGTTTCTGAAAACTGAAACTCGTTTATCAGGTTTTTTTTTTTTCCCCGAAAACTGTTATTTGGGAGAATTCTGAGAAAAAACCCTCTTAAAAGTGAAAACTATATAAAAAAATGAGTCCTCAATATCCTGATGTTTTCCGTTTCTGAAAACACAGAAAACAAAAACTGCAAACAGAATATGTATCCAAATTGACTCTTATTACAGTGTGAAGGACTTCAGTATTAGCTGTTGGAGGTGAAGAAAGAGCAGAAGTAAACAATTTTTTTTTTCTTTCTTTGTTGCAAAGCCCAAGAAAAGATTTTTTGTGTTGTTAGCTTTTGATGTTATATCTGTTGCCATAAGGGATCAAATTTATAAGCAATACTTTTTACAGGTGGGTGTCACCATAATCCCAAGGAAATACATAATGGGGAAGGTGGATGAGAGAGCCCTAAAGACACTAATTATATTGATATCTATGTCACTAAGTATCCTAGTCGTTGGTTGTGTTTGCATTTTCATCTTGACAAGCGGTGTGTCCAAGGAGATGAAGCTAAGAGCAGAGTTAATAAGCCATTTAGATGCCAGGAGAAGGGCAGAGGCATCTAGCAACTACAAAAGCCAGTTTTTAGCAAATATGAGGTTAGTTTCACTTTCTAATTTGCAGTCTTTTGACAATAAGAAAAGTAGCATTTATAACATGCAGATAATGGCTCATTCTCTCAGAAAATGAGTTTTGTGGGATCTAATCTGTTGACATGTGGAATTGCAAGTATAAAACATACTCAATTCAATGAGAAAAAGTGAATGAGAAGATATAAAAAGGAAAAAGAAAAGCAACAAATTGTAGGATATCCAAGAGTAAAGGTGATCAAGAAACTTTAATACAATAAGGAGATTTATGTCCATGGAGTAATCCCAATAGGATATCCATCTCAAAAACCCAAAGATAATAGAAATCTATGATCAAATATCCTTTGATCTTAACTAGAGAATTTTTGGAGATACTATGCAGCAAATGATTTTTTTTGTCACAGACATCACAAACCAGAACTTGCCTAGTCAAGACTAATTGTAATCTTATTTGCTCAGGTTCCGTTATTCTTTTCATACATTGTCTCTATTGACTAATTCTCATGATAGGTATTGGGATTTCTACTAATCTTGCACAATGTTCACCAAATTTAGACCTTATAATTATTTTCTTAACAATTGACCATTTGCAGGTTTTAATTTCATAGAACATTTTATCTATATGAAGGTAAAAACTATTTATTTTGTGACAGTCATGAATTGCGGACACCTATGGCGGCAGTTATTGGACTACTGGACATCCTCATGTGTGATGATTGTCTCACCAATGAGCTGTATGCAACAATTACGCAAATTCGTAAATGTTCAACCGCATTACTCCAGCTTCTAAACAACATTTTGGATCTTAGTAAGGTGTGAAACAAGGAAAGCTTCTGATTCAGCTGCCAATTTTACTAGAGCAATATAAGTTATACTGATTGTCATGAAAATGTAACTTCAAAAACTAATCAAGCTACAAATGGACAATCCTCAGGCAACACACAATGTTTAAACTGGAATGTACAATTTCATGAGAAAGGAACGTTGTCCATGGATTGCAACATATGTTATAGACTTAGGATTTGTTATAGAATTAGGAACTGAGAACTCAACCCCAAGTCAATTTAAACCCAAGGTAAATAAATTAGGAAAGAGGAATGTGAGAAAAAAAATATCCTATAGTTGTCCAAAGCGTAAATCATTTCACATTTGACAGTTGCGTGGAGCTTCTTACTTGTCTACTTCATCAAGTACCTTCTGTCATAAGTCAGAAGCCACATGGCTTCTTCTGACCTTTTTTTGCAGAATGCAGAAAAGTTTAACAACTCAGCAAGGTAGAATTGCTTAGATTTTTTGATAATTTATTGTATCTTTTGATCCTTTTCTTTGAATATGCTAAATTGGGTCAAGGAATTTCAAGATTTAATCTAATTTTTATCCATCAGAATTGATAATGTCAAAATGTTATAGCAGCAAATGTGAGAGAAACAAATGATTTGATTTTTATCAGAATATTGAACTGCTTGTTGAATTTTTAGCATGCTTTAAAAATCCTGATGTAGGTTGAATCTGGAAAATTGGTGCTGGAAGAGACTGAGTTTGACTTGGGTCGAGAACTTGAAGGGCTTGTTGATATGTTCTCTGTGCAGCGGATTAATCACAATGTGGAGACTGTTCTAGATCTCTCTGGTATTATATTAATATCCATCACATGGATACTCTTACATCAAAATTCCCACATAAAAAAAAAAAAAAAAAAAAAAAAACTAACATAATGTTTCTTGTCTCTACTAATTAGTTTCGGACACAAATGGTTGCCCTCTGTTTCTTTTGTAGATGACATGCCAAGATTAGTTCAAGGAGACTCGGCGAGAATTGTTCAGATATTTGCAAACCTAATTAGCAATTCTATCAAGTTTACAACCTGTAAGTGCAACTCTTGCATTGCTAAGTTTCCAAGCTCTTTGTTGTTGTAGATTAATCAATGACTAAATGAAGGATCCATTTCTGTCAAGGAAATAAAAGGGCTGATTATATCCATGATTCAATTTAACAGCAGGAAGCAGAGTAGAATCAGAGGGAGGGGTGAAGAGGGGAAGAAAGAAAGAAAGAAAGAAATATATTGTCCTTAATTTACTGGCTACAAGAAAATTAATTTACCACCCAGTTATAATCCATTTGGAAGATAACAGCTTCCTTTTGGGTGGATAATTGACACGTATAGATCAAATACACCACCTACACAATTTAAAGGATAAGAAGAACCTCCGTGAAAGGAATCAACTTTCTTAAAAACTTCCAATTACAAACTGTAGAATCTAAATTTCCCAGTGGCTTGCAGCTGGCTACATTGTTCTGCGTGGATGGTGTGAGACTCCATATGCTTCTGGTAACACAAGGAAATCTTCCTCCAATCCAATTGATTCATGGTGTACACACAAAACAAATATGAAGCAACACATAAATCAGGCTAAAAGATCCTTAAAGAAAGAGAACAAAATGATTCTTTGGTTTGAAGTTGACGACACTGGCTGTGGTATGAACCTTGTAGTTTCTTTAGAGTGGCTTGCTAGATTCTTAACTTGCTAGGAGATAATCTCCTTTTATGTTTAGAAACTTATTTTCACCTTTTGTCATTCTTCTTACTGAAGGAATTGATCCGAGCAAATGGGAGTCTGTTTTTGAGAGCTTTGAGCAAGCTGATGCTTCAACCACTCGCACGTAAGCTGATCTAATATATTTAACTCATCTGCTGCCAAAAATGTTAATTTGAAGTGTTCACGGTTGAGAAGAATTACAGTGCATTATGCTCTAACAATTTTTATGACTTTCTTATCTTTTTATTGACATTTTCAGGCATGGTGGCACTGGTCTTGGCCTGTCCATTGTTCGAACATTGGTGAGTAAAACCATTTTTCCAAAATATAAAATTTTAGTTCTTGAACGCTGGAACCATATAAATAATCAAACCACATTTTTAATCCAAACATGGACTTATTGATCATAAATTCTTGGTGGTTCAAAGCCAAATTTCAAAATCTTATGAAATCTCCTAGTCATTAACCTGTCAGGTTTAGATTATCCTGTTTTATGAAAGATGTGGCACTTAGGTCATATCATCTTAATATTTTAAACTGCCACCATATCATCATATTGTATGATTAATGACTCTTGGTGGCTCCCTCCAACCATCAAAAGAATGGGGGAAAAAAAAGAAAGAAAGAAAGAAAGAAAAAAGGTTTCTAGTAATAGCAATACTATTTCATCATTCAGCATATAGCTCTGTTCTTTACTCCTGTTGTGTGGGAGGTGGACACAGGTTAACAAGATGGGTGGAGAAATCAAAGTTGTAAAGAAGGATGGCCCAGGGACACTAATGCAATTGTTCTTGCTTCTCAGTACTCCATCACATGCCACAGGACAACATTGTGAACTGAAGTTAACTGAGCATGGTTTGATGGTGAGTTGGTGAATATATTGTTGCATCTTACCCTCTTTAATGCTGGTGTAAGGTTCAGGTGGAGATTTGGTTCTACCTCATCTATTAAAGTTTTTAGCACCATGACTGATATTTTTGAAGTTTGAATGCAGGTCTTACTCGCACTAAGTGGCAGAATGAGTAGATTGACCATGTCCCATTGGTTGCAGAAAAATGGAGTTTTGACTTTGGGAGCTTCTGATTGGAATGAATTGACACAAAATCTTCACAATCTCTTTCAATCTAAATGTTCAAAACATGAAGCATTAAGCACACAAAAAGTTGATGATTCAGTTTTCATTATTGTGGTCGACATTGGCATGCTAGACCATGGCACAAACAGATGGAGAGAACAGTTAAATTTCCTTGACAAGTATTATGGGAGAGCAAAGTTTGCTTGGATACTAAACCATGATACCTCCAATGCTATTAAGATGGTCCTTCGCAACAAAGGGCATGTTTTGATGGTTAATAGACCACTGTACAAGGCAAAAATGATTCAGATTTTGGACGCAACAATTAAGGAGAAAAAACTCGAGAAGCACAAGATAACTAACACTGAGAAAGCTGTGATAAATGAAACAGATTGTCAGTATGAGGTACCCAGTTCTGATAATTCTGATAGGTCAGAAGTGGATACTATCTACCCAAGTGAATCCCACAGTAGAGACAACCTATGTTCTGTTAAGGTCCTTAATGAACAGAAATCTCTTAAAGGCATACGTATACTACTAGCAGAAGATACATCAGTTCTCCAGAGAGTTGCTACGATAATGTTGGAAAAGTTAGGGGCTAGTGTGGTGGCTGTGGGAGATGGAATTCAAGCCTTGGATGCTCTAAATATTACACCAAATACAAATGGGTATAAGAGAAGATCTTCCTTGGAAGATGGCAAGACAGGAACTCAAACTCAAAGAGGGGATTGCCTCCCGTTTGACCTGATTCTAATGGATTGTCAGGTAAGATATTAAAATATAGTGAGCTAATTTTCATTTCATTTTTCTCAATGCTTGATCCTGTGTTATTAGAAACAATATAAAGAAAGCAGAAGAGCTTTAGTTATTTTGGAGGCATCTTTTTGCTTTTAGCAATAAAATTTATACTAAGATAGCCAAACATATACATTAAAATTACTGTCCACTGCATGTAGGATGGCATTCTTTTACTGATACTTAGAATTCTGTGAGAATTCTGTGATTTCTTACATTAAAAACTTTAAGAAAAAGGCAAATTACACTTTTGGTCCTTGGAGTTTCATCCTAATGTCATTTTGGTCTAGCTGTTTCAATTGTAATATGTTTAGTCCCAAGATTTAAAAAGTGTGTCCAGTGAGCACTATAGTTAATTTCCTTAGCTTTTTGGGTGGAAATCCTACACTTTTGCTCAGGAGGACACTTGAGGGTGTCTAACATCACCAACAACAATTTTTCACCATTTGTAGACTTAAGTGGGGTCAAAGTTTAGGAAGAAATTAGAGGTTTCATGTCCAGAACTTAGAGAGTTTTCCATGTAAAAATGGCTACCATCATTAGCTTTTATCCTTATGTGGTACGTTTTTGAAATCCTTGGGAAATAAATGTCTAACAATTTAAACCACATAGACTAACATCGAACAGGAATGGAACTATGGGGACTGAAAGCGTAATAACCAGTAAAAATCAAACAGAAAAGAAAGAACACTTCAAAAAGAAGCACATTTCTTTCATCAATTTCCAAACTAAAATCATTCATGCCTGGATTCTGCTATTGCGTGTCAAATCAGATGCCAAAGATGGATGGTTATGAAGCAACGAAGGCAATCAGGAAATTTGAATTGGAGACTGGTTCACACATTCCAATTGTTGCCCTGACAGCTCACGCAATGTCATCAGATGAAGCCAAATGCATAGAGGTGGGTATGGATGCTTATCTAACAAAACCAATTGATTGCAAACTCATGGCATCTACAATCCTTTCTCTTACTGAAAGCATTGCCTAGCGCTTTTGTTTTCAGAAGCATAATGGTATAATTTTGCTGAGGGCAGAGCTACATTTTGGTTATACTTGTACAGTTTGTCTAGATGTAAAAGATTAAGTGGTGGTAATCCACATGTTTTGCGATAAGTTACTACTAGAGGTCTTAATTAGAAGAATTCTGTCATGGGCTTTACTCTATTCTCTTTCTAACCACTTCACACAATCCTGTCCATTGAATTTGCTTTAACATGTTTTTAGGCTAATTTAGCCACAAAAGGAAGAGCTGTGACAAAATTGATACCTAAAGGCTTTTGCTCAGCAATCTCGCTTCCTATCTCCACATAAGTTGTGAATCCTTGTTTGTGCAAATGGTACTTTGAATCTGGGATGAACTTGAATAGTTCTCAATGTAACAATTAACCAAAGAGACATTTTTTTTGAATGATTTCGTCCCCACTTAAATTGGGAATGTCATCCTTTGTTAAAATTATTTATTATTTAGCATTATTACGAGGCTTATTAATTAATTAAATAAAACTTATTTAGTCACATGCATGTGCATATAAACACAATCTGCAAGGTACATATGCAGTTATGCTTGTATTTATATTACAGTGGTTGTTTTTTCTCCCTATTTTTTCAAAGGTATTACAATTATTTTTTAACACACAACACAATGATCTAGTTTTCAGAGTTTCCATGGGAAAGAGAGTAGGAAGCTAGAGGATTCTGCTATGTTTAGAGCTTAGGCTTCATGAAAATGTAAGAAAACTTACTACAAGGAAAACAATTAAATTGAAAAAGAAAAAAATAACTTTGTAATTAGTTTTTGATTGATTTAGAATATGTCATGATAATAAATTAATAATGTTCTGTTAAAAAATTACAGTTTCTGTACAATTAGATATGGGAAAATTGTTGAAAAAAATCCATATATTAATTTTTAAAATTTGAAAGGGTGAATATGTAGTGTGTGACTAAACATTAAAGGATTTATTTTGACATTTTCTTTTATACTTTTTATAATATAATCGATCATTATTTGAAGTCACTAATAATTTTTATGTTAATCATTTTATGTGATAAGCACATAATTAAGGAATAGAAAGGAGATGAGATGAAAGTTGAAGAAATCTATTTGTGGATGAAAATCATAAAAAAAATAATAAATTCTTTCCATTTTTCTTTTATTTCTTATTTTTAATTTTTAATTGATTTTTTCTTTTTTTGAACCAATGAGAGCAACTAGAGTAAATAGAAAGAAACCAAATTACCCAAATCCAGTTACATATTGGAATTTGGAGGAGGGAATTAGCTCTTTCCTCAAATAGATGTGTAATTTAAGAGAGACCATTTGAATTTTCAACTATATTTAGTGATTTTCTTTTATCCTAAAAAAAAAATTATATGAGTAATCATAAAAATATTTAAGTGTTAACAAATGAGAAAAGAAAAGGAGAAAAAATAAATTTTGTATCAAATAAACATAAGATTTATTTGATACTGTGTTTAAAAGTAATGTTATTTATCTCATATATTTACTGTACATGTGTGGATCTCAGTTTATTGTGAGAGATAATGATATTACTTTTAAGAATAATATTCAATAAACTACAATATAAATCAACTAAATGGATAGATTTTACAAATTAATAGTTAGGAATCTTGTCATTTTCACAACTCATCTAAGTTAATTTCATGATCTGACTGTCCCCAATTTCTACAATGCTTAAATATTTCTATTTCATAATTGTATATTTCAAAATTTAACTGGGGTTAAAAAAAAAGTCTATTAACTAAAGTGAAAACAAAGAAAATATAAGGCGCCGCGGGCAAAACAAAATGGTAAACTATAAAAATTTGGTGAATTATGACGTCAAAAATATTATATGATTTGGATGATGGTTGGATTTAAATTTTTGTATTTATTTATTGGTGGGCAAAGCCTTAATACGTTCAGATTTCTCAATTACTACCTTACCTTACGATTTAGAAAATCTGAATAAAACATAATTTATAAAAATACATAACTTTTTTTAATCTGATTTTTAAATTTTTTCTAGATCAATACTTTAAAATCATGCAATCGATAATTGAGAATATTTATTTGCATAGGCACTCCTAAACTATTGCAATTTTAGAAATCACCCCGTCCCCCGTCACCCATCTCTGCTGCACAAGCCCTGGTTCTCCGTCTACCAGGGCTCCGGTGGCGTACTGGTTTATACGTTGAGAGTGACGGGGAAAGGAAAATGGTTGCCTCTGATAACCAGCTGGGCGGAAGGGGAGCAAAGTAAAAATGTAGAAATAATATTCATAAATAAAAAATAAGTTAATTTCCTTATTTTAAATATCAAAAATATATTTCTTTTACATCACAAAAAAATTAGTAATGCAAAAAAATCAATTAAATAATGTGCAAGAATTTGTTAAAGTCGAACATGGCATTTGAAACTCCAAAATATGAATCGGAAAAAGTTAATAAAAATTATAACTGTTTTTTTATGGAGTGCAAAATAATGCGTTTTAAGTTATAAGATTTTCTGTTATCGAAAGTGTATTTTCTTGCCTCTATTATTTTAAAATTATTTGTTTGACTAATCCATTGAGGGATAATTCTTTAATATTCTAACATTATATTAATTAAATAATTTTGTTAGAAAATGATCTTAGTTATGATTTTAATAGTTTTTATTTTTACACTATATTTTTAATTGAAAAAATCTCCAAAAGAGAAAATGTAACTGATTTTCGGCAAGGGACATTTATAATATAAACGAAACTAAAGTAGAGAACATTTGAAATTGTGAAAGTTGAGGGGGCATGGGTATTCACTGTATATAAAGAACATAATATGAGTAATATTTATAGTTCATTATTTTTTTTTCTCAAAATATGTACTTATTAAAATATTTAGTGTTCCTTTTTATAATTTAGTATATTTTTTTCACTCTATCCGATATGATATTTGTGACACTTTCGTCTACTTCAACTCAATATTGTCATCAAGGTGAGAAGCTTGTCAAAGTGAGGTTCACGACTTCTCACTATTCTGTCTACCTCTATGTAAGTGTTAAAGGTACTGATGCATAGGTCACTATACCATCAAACTAGTTACTTGGAGTTAACTCTGGTATTACACGAGACTATGCCCTCTCCCTAAAAAATATATCTATTAGTGTGTATAGTACTCTCTTTTATAAATAAGTATTTCTCATTTACTCTATCTTACTTGAGATTTATGATAAATATCTTGTAAGAAATAAGGCCAAGGGTATTTAGAATTATGAGAATTTAAGGGATATTTTGGAGTTATGAAAAGCATGAAAAGGATCCAGTGCATAATATCTCATAATTTAGGGGTTTAACTTAATAAAGCAAAACGTGTGGGGTATGTTTCCAAAAGGACAATATTTCAGGTACCTCTGCGTAAAAGAAGTTTCAATTTAAAAAAACCTCAAAAATAAAAACCTCTCCATTAAAAAAGGAAAATTGTTTACTTGTCCCTCAAGCTCAAGATCCTCGCATTCCCGGCATTGGCTACAAGAAAGTAGACTTGCGAAGGTAAGATCAACGAGCTGAAGTAACGCTGAACAGAGGAATGGCGAGGTACGATAGAGCAATCACAGTTTTCTCGCCGGACGGCCACCTCTTCCAGGTGGAATACGCCTTGGAAGCTGTCCGCAAGGGGAACGCCGCGGTCGGCGTCAGGGGCACGGACACCATTGTTCTCGGTGTCGAGAAGAAGTCCACGGCCAAGCTCCAAGACTCCAGGTCCGTCCTCACTTTCTTCTTTTCTTTTATAGGAGAAAGGCTGCAATTCTGCCTGCATTTTGAAGCCCAAGTGGCTAGAACTAGGGTTTGTAACACTTGAATCAGCGGATCGACGATCTCTTTTTTCCTGGATTTGATATTTCTCACATCGTGTTCTAAGGGACTATACTGAAATGGTTTTATATTTTCATATATGCGTTATGGTGATCTTCCAGTGAAGCTGTTGTTTCACTTTTCTTAAATTACTGCCAGGCACTGTTAACTGATGGCTTGGAGTGCATAATTCCAGTCCTACTTTGGATCCGGCTAATTCATTGTGCCTAAAATTTGTTGTTTGAATCAGTGTTAGGCTGCATGGTTTGGGCAAAAAAACACCCTTTTTACATTACAAATTCTGGTAATTGAGGTTTCAGTGGCATGTAGGTGAACTTGAAGACTGTAGTAGATTGGTTAGTTTAAAAGTTGGAAGTTTGTCTTTGCTGTTAAAGAGGATCGGCACAGATGGCCTTTTCCAAAGTTATCCATGTCGGGAGGGTGGTGTTAACTCGACCCTTGAAATTTACTTCAATAGGAAATTGAGCTAAGGGCATCCTATCTTGTTAATGGTTACTTCCAGTAATGTTGTTGTCCCTTTGTGATATGACCGCACTATCATTTTGTGGTGATTTCTTCATGCTGTGCCTTGTACGAGGCTCGTCCACATTAGGTGGTATCTACCAAATGCATTGCTGGAGATATGTGTGGTGTACTTGCCTTGCGAAAAAAATAGAAGGAAATACCCAGATGACTTTATTCTTGAAAAGAACCTTAATTAAGAAGTCAGTTTAGAAGTTAGAACAGACTTTAAGGCCCATTTATTTCTGTTAAACAAGGGGGAGTATCACACTCATATATGCCTGTGGACTTAACCTGTCTCTTGTGCTGTTCATTTAAATTTGTAATGCAGTTACAATATGCTTTTTCTTTGTTTTATTCCCTTTTTCATGATTGGACTACATGTGCAACATAATCCTTACATCAATTTTTAATTTTTTTAACTTTAAATTCCTATTTCAAATTGTCTTGCAGATCAGTTAGGAAAATTGTTAGTCTGGATAATCACATTGCATTGGCCTGTGCTGGCCTCAAAGCGGATGCTCGTGTCCTTGTAAACAGGGCAAGAATTGAATGTCAAAGTCACAGGCTTACTGTTGAGGATCCCGTAACTGTCGAATATATTACACGTTACATTGCTGGTCTTCAACAGAAGTACACACAGAGTGGTGGTGTGAGGCCTTTTGGTCTTTCAACTTTGATTGTGGGCTTTGACCCTTATACTGGTGTGCCATCACTTTATCAGACAGATCCATCAGGTACATTTTCTGCATGGAAAGCTAATGCAACAGGGAGAAACTCTAATTCAATGCGTGAGTTTTTGGAGAAAAATTATAAAGAAACCTCTGGGCAAGAAACTATCAAGCTTGCAATTCGTGCCTTGCTTGAAGTAAGTATCTTTTTGCTCATTGATTTTTGTTTTTCTTATGCGCATTTGTATGTTTTGGTGGATTTTCCATGGTTAAGTCAATATTCCACTATATTAATGACACTTTTTTTGCTTTATTATTTGAGGTTCATTATGTGTCGATCACAAATTATCTTTTTCTTCACTTAGGTTCACAATCTGATATTAGCCATTGACTGAAACGATGTTGTCTTTGCATTTTGAATATCTTTCCAATACAAGGAATTTTATAGATTTCCTTAGCATAATATGCCTTGTTTAGTCATCAGCCACTAGTTGGTCCTGTGGTGAAAACTTACACTAACCAGCATGAGAAAGCTATTTAATTTTAGGGAAGCTATTTTGTTCAAATATATACTTAAAAAAAAAAAGGAAAATCTTTGAGGTTAGACATAGCTCCCTCTCAAGTGATTGATGAGCTTGTTTTTTCAATGGCACCTATAGCTTTATACTTGTTTATGAATATTTTCTGAAATTATTTTAATTTCGGGAATTTCTATCATACTTGACAATTGCCCTAGGTCAATAGTGAAAACCAAAAATCTGGAATCTATTCTACACATGCAACTAAATGAGAGGAATAAGCCTTCTGTCTTCTAGAACCATTTCATCACTTCCTATACTCCAGTGCTTGACCCCAATCTCCAAAGACCTGCTGTTTGCCATCTGCTTGGTTAGAAGTTTTTGCAGCTCTCTCCTATAGTTTTCAATAAAATCACCCCAGCATACCATTAGGGATAACCAAAATGCAGAAGATAAACCACACTAGACTTAGAGCTTGGACAGATATTATTGCCAACTTGATTCTCTTAAAAGAAAAGATCTTTTATCCCATGGGAGCCTGCCTCTGATCCAATATGAGGTTGAAGTGTATTTTCTTCCCTAGTGAATATCAGTTTCTGGTAGTTTGACGTCAAGATGATTGACAAATTTGGGATGCACAATTGTATCATGTTAGAAGATGAAGTCCAACATTGTTGGGAAAGAAAGAAGTGTTGTTGCTTTCAATCAAATGTGAAAGAAATGGAGAGAACTCCAAAATGTTGATGTTATTGGTATGAGATCACTACTCAAAGGTGAGGGTAAACTTTTGTAAACAAATGAAATTATTCTAGTGTTTAGTGAGTGCAATAATGTAATGTTTTTAGCCTTAGCATGTCTCAGGTGGGTTCTATGATAATGGAAAGATGACAGGAACTTCAATATCTATTGGAGGTGTCTTTAGTGGCTTTCTTGTGGTGAATTCATGCAAAATGAAGAAACAATGCTTCACCAACAGATTGGAAAGTTCACACTTTCACCATGGAAGGAGTAGTACTTGCTCTTATTAGGGAAGCAACACCCCTAGTAAACTTATTACGTGCCAGTTATTGTGCAGATTCTCTCTCTCAATAGAGGGAGAAGGGTTAGTTGCTGTTTATCCTGTCAGATTGGAAAATGTTGCAGAATAGTGACTGTTTAATATCATTTAAAAATACTAGAGCCAATCACAACTGCGCTCATTGCTCTATCTCAAATATCGGGAAACACCCTTTTTTTTAATTTTTTTTATTTTTCTAGTGCCATTGACTTTTTCTTTGCAACCAAAATGGGAATACAATTTTTCTTGCTAATGTTATTAATTTTTAAAATGACATGAAATTGCTGTCTAGGATGGATTTTTATCTGCATCCTATTCCACTAGTGCTGAGTTCTTTTCTTACATCATTTGTTAGGCTAAGTGATTAATATTACACCGTAGCACCTGTGCCAAAGAGTTAAAGGCCTGGCATCTTGCTGCATGCACCAAACTAGAGTTTTTATATAGTGGGTGATTGCTTTATTTTCTGTATTCATATAATCTTTAGAAGGTACTCTTTTTCAAATCCTGCTATATGGCCCTCCCCCCAGGAAAGGGAAAAAATCTGTCTCAATTCCTTAAGAGTTCAGCTTGGATCTCCATACTCTTCATCCTGGGGAACTACAATAATATTTTATACAGGTTGATCAGTGGATCAATGACCAAATATAAAAAATATAATTGGTAAAATGGGAAAATGGATGATGATCTTAGCTTTCAATCATTTTGTTTGTTAATTTTTGAAGAAAATTTTTGAGGAGTATTAAATGGAAATTGATTGTGGGATGACTCCCGACCAGAAATGGCATTGAAGGCCTTAGAATATTTGAATTTACACAAGTTTAGCTTTTTCAGTATGTCTTTTCACTTTTGGTGTTACCATGTAACCGAGGAGTGAGTGGTCATATATTTGGGTTTATGAATTCCTTTTTTCTCACTGCAGAAGTGTAATGCATTCTCATACCTTTTGCAATATAGTACCTTCAACTCAGTAGTCATTGTTTCACACCTTTTGAGTTGTCATGCGTTTTAATATTTATGGTTGATAAGGTGTCTGTAGGTGCAGAAAATCTGCGGAATGCATACTTTAGAAACATATTGATAAATTTAAAAAAGGATACACAGGATTATGAGTTAGTCCAACAAAGCATTTGATCTCCTCCTAGTTGGTGTACTTGCTGAAGCAATCAGTTTCTCATGAGAGAGAGAGAGAGAGAGAGAGAGAGAGAGAGAGAGGGAGAGAATGGTACACTTCTTTTATCTTTCCTTATAGTTGAGTCTCAAATTGGAACTACTGGAGTTTTGTTGTTTCTCATTACCAAATTAGTGATCTTTTAATTAGGCCCCACTAAAAACAATTATTAAATTTAGAATGATTTAGTGGAAGTGGAGTATTTTTTTTCTTTTTTTTTTTTTAATTCTAAATAAATACTTTTGTCAAATAGCATATTGGGTTTGGCCTTGGCAACCTGCATGTGTTGCAAAGCACCCTTTTTTTTTTTTTTTTTTTTGGTTACATGTTGCAAAGCACCCTTTTGGTAAACTTTAATTTCCCAAAAATTGAGGATAGTGGAGAAGCTTTTGGATGGCTCCTATATCAAATCTGTGGGATTTGGTTTGTTGACCTTCAGAAGCTTCCCACTATTTTCAATCTGGATTCTAAATTCTAGGGAACCCACTCTGGCGTATATGTCTTGAGATCAGAAGGCTCTTCTACTGCCCTTGGAACATGTCTTGAGATCAGAAGGCTCTTCTACTGCCCTTGGAACTCATTTCTGCACTCTTCAAAGTGCAAAAATCAGTGGTCTTATAGGAGCACCCATGTGCCTGACTTGAAAGCATTCCATTTTCCTTCAATTAATGGCCTCTTCTTCTTGCTTGATTATCAAATAACTGCTGATAGAAGATGATGCCATTGCGACTTAGCGCCTACTATGCTGTTTGCAGAAAGAAGCAACAAGCAGGGAAAATCAGCTTAATGTCTGCACATCAATAGGAAAGTAAGAAATGGAATCACCTCTTTTCACCTGGTTGACACAAGTAGGACACATGGAAAGACACTAATTGGCCATATTGAAGGCATGTTATGATATTTTAATACTCTGCACAAAAACCTTTTGAGAGATGGGTGGTGTGGCTAATGGGAGTTGTGAAGACTACAGAGGAGGGTGCATGGAGGAGAGCACATGTTTCACATTCATGAAAGGAACTACTGAAGCATATCTTAACATTCTGATCCTTGACAGAATAACCTTTCAAACATGGACTTGTAATGGCTGACTGGGGGGTGTGAAGAGTAGAGAAGAGGGCTGCATGGAGCAGATGAAATCGTCTGAGAGTCATGAAAGTTCTCTCTTAAGTAGTTGGTGGTGGTTGAAAATTTGACATGAAATACTGGACCTTGTACAAAGGATTCTGTTGGGGTCTGTTTTTCATCATTATCAATCCACTCTTCTCTGCATTTTGTCATGTCATCCACACAAAATTGATTAAAAGGATTCAATAATGGCCATGGATAAGAGGATAAATATTTTTTCTGGTCATTCATCTATCTCCTTAAGTAATCAACCGGCAAATAGATGAACATGTGGAGCAGTTAGTAGAGGCACTTACAAATACTTGAATGTTGTTTAGTTTTTGGATGGTCATTGGGAACTAATTTGGACTTTATGTTTTGGGACAAGTTAATGAAGTTTGCTTATTGTGTTTAGGTGGTTGAGAGTGGCGGAAAGAACATTGAAGTTGCTGTGATGACAAAGGAGCATGGCCTACGGCAGCTTGATGAAGCCGAAATTGATGCCATTGTTGCTGAAATTGAAGCTGAGAAAGCAGCTGCTGAGACAGCAAAGAAGGGCCCTCCCAAGGAGACATAACTTGCTCTTTTCGCCTCATCTGTACTTGGTCTTGAAAATCTCGTTGCTTCTTAAAATTATTTGTTTTATTGATGTGGATTACAAATCAAATGTTTGTTGATAATTCACTGCTGTAATGCTACCAAGCCTTACAGCTGTCTATCCTAATGGTTTGACCTTCTGTCAGTTGATCTATAGTATGGCTCTCTAAGTAGTAGTGGAAGTAGTAATTGGAGATCTGGAATTTTGGACTATTCAATGTTGCTTTCACGGGTTTTTTAAGGGTTGTGGACTTTTGCTGTGGATCAAAAAAAAGCCAGCTCTCTCTCTCTCTCTCTTTTATTTATTTATTTATTTTTTTTTTTTGGGGGTAGGTGGGGGGGTTACTTAAAATTGCCCAGCTCTGTGTTACGTCAGAAGTTGGATACTCGGAAAAGGAACCCACTAATCAGTAAAGCTCCAGTTGGAGGTTCTCTGAAGAAAGCCCCCGAAAGAGAACCAGATTGGGTTTCCACCACACACCTAAGGAGGCGGGGAAAATCCAAGTTAGAAGTTTAAAACTACGAAATATTGACTTTCATGTGTGAAACAAAAAGCACCTGTAACATGTTCTCAATAAAAAAAATATTTCTTCCCTTTGCGGTAGATATGTTGACCAAGCGGTTAAACGCATACCTAATTGGTCTAAATTATAAATCCTTGTCATAATGGGGTTATTTCGAAATGTTTGTCAAAAAAAAAAAAAGAAGTGTTGGAACGAGGCAAATTACTAAATTTACATTTTTAACCTGCAAGTCGAAAGATCCGCATCTTAAGATTAATTTGCACTTTACACCTTTAAAATAGATGATTTTGGTACTTTATTTCTTAAAATTTTAAATTTAGCATTTTTATACTTCTTAAAAATAGAGGTTTTTGACACTTTAAATTTCATAATTTTAAATTTAAACTCAAAATTTCTTAAAATTACGAAAAATGCACCATATATTTGATTGCCCGTTAAAACTAAAAGTAAAATCTAAAAGTAAATTTAGAATTTCATGTAAATAAAGAATAAAAAGATTATAAAAAATTTAAACCCTTCTTTTTTTGTTTTTTTCATTTTATTTAATAAAATTTCACTCAATTTATACAC